GTTATATGAATATTTATTTCATAATAATGCATATAGAATTAATCATGTTTATAGGGTAGCATTTATGCTTTGCTGCCCTCAGTGTGATGACAAAAAATAGTGTATTTGTTATTAAACATAATATAAACTATGTAATAGTAAAATATAATAAAAAAAAGGAAATTTAAAAGGATAACAAGATGTATACAGCTGTTCTGTAGGTTTTATTGATGAATTCACTTAGGTAATGTTCAAAGTTTCCCAAAAGAGGCAGATGAAATATTTGAAATTTTTTCCAGTACTATTGCCTAGGGAGATGACTATTTTCACTTCACTGTTTATGAAATAAAGCAAGGAGTAAGGACAAGCTACAAAGAACATTGTACAGTTGGAAACAAGAGGGTACAAAAACAGTAGGACCATCTGACCACAAATGGGAAGAGCAGGTTGCAGTAAAATTATAGCAGGAATTCAGCAGGTATGGAACAGACGTATACTGAGCACACAACCATGTGATTAGAAATTCATTGTTACTTAAAAAAAAAAAGAGAAGAAGATGAATCAGAGCACATCCTCACTAACAGGGAAAGATTTTCAAGTTGTGAATCAACAGTCTTTGACCCCTAAGATGGACAAATGTGGGTTATGTTGCCAGATATTGCGGCATGAAAGGCAGCAGGAAGACCTGAAATGGAAGTGGAAAATTAAAACAAACAATAACAGCAGTCGTCCAGGAAGCAAGAAAGAGATCATAAAAGAAAACTGGAATGGCTCTGTTATCGTGGGTTAGTGAGGGCAACACGGTGGAGGACGCATAACACTGTAGGACTAGATAAGCCAGTTGGTGTTACTGTGGGGAATTATTTAAAAGCTGGATAGCAGTATTCTGGTCCAGCAGAATTTTGAGGGAGGCCGTCTAAAAACACAGAACCTATCTAAAGATATCCTAGGACGTCTATCTTTTCACAGTTCACGTTGTGTTGACCTTTGCCACATTTGAGATTGTTGACAACTCTAAGTTTTCTAATAGTTTTCTCCTCTCCTACATCAGAGACACTGTATCCCTGCTTTTCTATTTGTTATCTACCTATAAGTCCCTTTCCTCTGCCTGAATCCTACCTTACGCATTCCACAAGGCTTAATTCTTGGCCCTCTGCTGCAGTGTTCGGATATTTTCCATCAGGTAGAAAATCCTGTCATCTTATAATGATGGCTCCAAGATCTTTACCTTCAGCTCTGCCTCTTAATCTAAAAGTTCACTTTAATAAGCATTTGTTCAGTGCTAATTAGAACGTACCAGATACTCTGCTGAGCGATAGCAAAAATCGCCTTACAAGATACCACCACATGGAGGTGTCCTAACATCACCACAAACTCAAAAAGCTCAAAACATTTTTATAAGTTTCACTGAGTGTCCCATTCAAAATGTTTCTTATAAACATCTATGCTTTCTTGTCATTACAACCATTAATCAGCTTTGCCAAGACAAAAGTGCAGCTATCTTAGTAGCTTATAAGACAAAAATTTTATTTCTCACTCACATTATATGCAGGTTAAATTTCCATGTGGCTATGGCCCACAACACATGGTTTAGCCCAAAATCAATGGGATGGGGTTAACCAGTCCTTTCCAAGAAAAAGGGTAGTGAATAATTTTGGCCCAAACTTATTCTCATCACCAGCTATGCTGACCATGGTGGGGTCTTCCAACTTAGAGCCCCATGAGTTATTAATTTATCCAGTTAGCAAAAAGTTCTGCAGGCTTTCTCTGTGACATTTACCGTATATGTGAGAAATAATTAATAGAACAGTCACTGCCATTCAGGAGCTCCCAGTTAAATGAGATATAAGTAAACAAATGTTTTACAGTGATGCGCACCCACTTACAGGAGCACATCTTAAGGAAGGCGCACCTAACAGCTACAGTCTCCCACCATTCCTCACTCAGCCTCAGGACATAAGGGAAGGATAACCTTTGAGTAAAGTCTTGAATGATGAGTCGGATTCAGACCAACAGGAGGCAGGTCAGAGTGAAGAAGGGCATTCCAAGCAGAGTAAACAGCATTTGCTAAAATCCTGGAAGACACTGCGCATTTTGGCAAATGGTTGAACATAGCCAGAGTACATTTATTCAGGTGTATCAAGAAATGAGGTTAGATAAAAAGTGATCATGAGACTACGAAAAACCAACAGGTCATGCTGAAGAGTGTGAATTTTATACCATATGCTGTGGCGAGGACTGCAGGCGTGGGAGTAAAATTATGACATTTAGGTTGGAAACAAGACACTTGTATGCAGGCAAATGCAAAGTATTTCACAACTGATAAGAGGCACAGAGTGGGGAAAAGAAGCTGATGGGCCTTCTAGGACGACTGGATTTCCAGTAAAATGGTTGTACAATGTACCTGAATAAAGGAATATGCAAGGAGGAACAGATTCGGGGTGCCTCAGGGACATCCCAGAAAGAGCTGTAGTAAGTAGTTAGCATATGGATCTAGAGGAGTCAGGAGGAACTGAGAACTCAGGCGCACACTTTAATCTCCCTGATCCTCCATTTCTCCATCTGTAAAATGAAGATAAAACACCTGCACTTTCTACCTGACAAACTGTTACTGGAAAATACAAAACAGTGAATGTAAAACATGTTTTTCAACAAAGTCCTTTAAAAATGTAGGAAATTATTGTATGAAAGTCACATTCAGCTCCTTCCCAACCTTCTGCTGCTCCTCAAATCCTCTGAGCCCTCTGGATCAACATCTTCACCATGAACTAGTACACCAGGCTCTTTCCCAGTTTTGAAACTTCATTCATGCCATTCTGTTCCTTCCCTCTCCCCAGCCTACAGTCTACTGAATACCCTGCGGTTCAGCTAAAGGCTCATTTCTTTGATCTTTGGAGATGACATTAACTTCCCACCTGAGCACATATTATCTGCCCATGCGTGTTTGGTGGGGGGAGTAACTTTTAAATTGACTTTCCTTTTTAATTAATTTATTTAACAGATAATATATTCACATTGTTTAAAATTCAAAAGCTACCAAAGAAATTACAGTAAAAAGTCTATTTCCTATGTTTATTCCTCAAGTACTTGTTCTTGTCCCCACCCTCCCAGGCAATTAATATCATTAGATTTTTGTGATCCTTCCCCAGAAAAGCAAATTAAATCAGTGGCTTTCAGATCATGTTCTGGTGGCTCAATATAACAACAGACGCAACATGGAAAGAGACCAAGCAGTTGCATTTCCTCGGCTTCCAAAATAGCTGTGCTGTTCGTACCAGTTTTACATATAGGACTAAAAATGTTGCTAAATTTTAGTTAAGGAGGAGTTCTGTTACTAAATTAGTTTTAAGATCACTAACCTATACCATTCATTTTATAACCTAATATACACTATATGGCATTATTATTATTGCATATAGCTATCATGCAAAAAAATTATGCAGAATAAATGTGGAAATAGTGGTTTACACGTAGTTACCCTCTTCCTCCAAGATGTCCTTGTATTAATTAAACATGTTTTAGGTTTTTTCACCAAAGGTGAACTCTTATCATTTACTCATTTACTTTTTTCTTTTTCCTCTCTGTATCTTTTAATTTCACTTAGATACACCTAACAAAGAATAAATGAAGCTCAAACTACTACAGAAAAAAAAATTGTAACAAGTCAGAAAATTAGTAAAGTAGGCGAACGATTAGAAATTTCATTCCATTATCAAAAAAAAAATTTGTTCCTAATTTCCTAAATCTCTTAACAAAAGTATAAGTCGGCATATTATCACCTACTTCTGTAAGTCAGTCAGTGGATATAGATGATTGTTGTCTGCTACATTTATTAAGGTAAAGCTTCAAAAAAAAATCCCAAGAGTCAATCATAGGGAATGATAAGTAGCACAGAGAAGAATTCCCTTATGTTGTTATTTTGTAGAATTAATTTGGGGCACTTCAACCAATGTTTATTAACTGCAGTGGGCCAGGGATTAATCTAAATGTTGGTCGTCCAAAAATGAACAAGCTACAGTGTTTACTCTGAAGGAGCGCACCATCTAGGAGTGGAGACAATCTTCAACAAGTAAGTACATACAAATGCATACGCTGTGAAAAGCACTGTAATAAAAATAACATGTCTGATATAGTTTGGGTACAAAGAAATGAGTCATCGATTCTGCACGGAAAAAATCAGGAAAGGCTTCTCAGAAGTCGTATTCTAAATATTAAACCCAATTTTGTTCTTATATAAATATTATCAGTAACTTCAAAACTACATGTAACTGTGAGTGAAGTGAAAAAGTTACAACAAATAGTATAATCTGGATGCTAACGTGTGTAAATTTCATAATATTTACCTTGACAATGAGTTGATAACGTCGTCTGCCTAGGTAACCTCGCCACCACTTTTGAATGGTTGTTGCTACTGTGTGTAAGTGCCTGCATGAAAAACATGCTTATTAGTATGCTTTCATTGAAACAGTAATATATCTTCAATTTTTGCCTGGAACATATCTTCGACAATTCAAGAAATCAAAGTCAAAGCTGAGTTTATATATACTTTTAAACAGTAAGACAGTTATCATTCTGTGATCGTATTAATCATTCCTAGAAATAGAAAAAAGCCATAGATAATTATTCAATATTTCTTTGGGGCTTATGATTAAACATTTTAAATTTTAATTCCTCTTTAATACTAATTCTTTAAAATATTTCTGAATGTTAAGACTATAAAACAGGAGAGAGCTCCCAAGATGACAGAGCAGAAAAGACCCTGAGCTCACCTCTTCTCACAAGCACACCAAATTTACAACTATTGAAGAACAACTATCAATGAAAGAGACCAGAAAAGACCTTCAACAACTAAACAAAGAAGGAACCACGACGAGGCAGGTAGGAGTGGTGGTGCTGCAGTTTACTCAAAACCCACACCCCAAGGTGGGCGAGTCACAAGTGAGAGAAGGATCACAGCTGCAAGGGGTTTTACCCAAAGAGCAGGGGGTCTGAGCTCCACTCTGGGCTCCCGAGCCTGCGGTTCCGGCTACAGGAAGACGAGCCCCAGAATGTTGGGCTCTGAAGGCCAGAGGGCTTGCTTTGGGGAGAGCCAGAGGCCTTGGGGAAATAGAAACTTCACTCTTCAAGGGTGCACACAATCTCACACGCTCTGGGACCCAGGGCAGAAGCAGACATTTGAAAGGAGCCTGGGTCAGACTCACCTGCTGATCTTGGAGAGCCTCCTGGAGAGGAAGGAGGCAGCTGGAGCTCATTTTGGGGACGCAGACCACTGGCAGCAGCCATCCTGGGGATCCTGTTCTACCACGTGGACACCAGTGCTGGCAAATGCCATTTTGGAATCCTCCCTCTAGCTTATTAGGCTCAGGATCCAGCCCCACCCCTGCCCACCAGGCTGTAGGCACCAGTACTGAGACATCTCAGGTCAAACAACTAACTGGGAGGGGACACAGCTCTATCCAACAAAAATAGGCTGCTGGAACACCCCCACGCCTACAGCAGCCCCTAGACAGGGCCCTGCACAGTAGAGGGCTCAGGACCCAAGGGCACACAACAGTGCACAGACACCAGGCCTGGGAATTCCAGGGCCCTGCAGCCAGCAGCTCTGGAACCAGCTCTGCCCACCAGTGGGCATGCACTAGCCCCAGAACCCCCTGGGCCCTGGCCCCACCTACCAGTGAGTCTGTTCCAGCCTCTGTGCCAGCCTCACTCAACAGTGGGCAGACACTAGCCCCAGAGCAACCATAGCCCCACAGCCTTCCACAGCAGAACCCAACCCACCCACCCACCAGGAGGCCAGCACCAGCCCTGGGGTTGGCTGGTCCCTGGCCCTACCCACTAGCAAGCCAAAAATTCCCTATCAAAATACCAATGGCATTTTTCAAAGAACTAGAATAATTTTTTTTGAACTTTATGGAAACACAAAAGACTGAGTAGCCAAAAAAATCCTGAGAAAGAACAGAGCTGAATATATCATGCTGACTTCATGCTATACTACAAAGCTACAGTAATCAAAACAGTATGGTAGTGGCATAAAAATAGACACATAGATCAATGGAACAGAATAGAGAGCCCAGAAATAAGCCCATGCACTTATGGTCAATTAATTTACAACAAAGGAGGCATATACAATGGATAAAGGACAGCCTCTTCAGTAAGTGGTGCTGGGAAAATGGAACAGCTAGCTGTATGTGAAAAAATAAAATTAGAACATTTTTTTCACACCACATACAAAAGAAAATTTAAAATGGATTAAAGACCTAAATGTAAGACTGAAAAATGTAAAACTCTTAGAAGAAAACATAGGCAAAACACCCTTTGACATAAAATCATAGCAATATTTTTTGGATCTGTCTCTCCTGAGGCAAAGGAAACAAAAGTAAAAATAAACAAATGGGACCCAATCAAACTTAAAAGCTTTTGCACAGTAAAGGAAACCATTGACAAAATGAAAAGATGATCTACTGAATGAGAGAAAATATTTGCAAATGATATGATGGTTAAGGTGTTAATATCCAACATTTACAAACAGCTTAGACAACTCAACACCAAAAAAAAAATGGGCAGAAGAACTGAATAGACATTTTTCTAAAGACAACATAGATGGTCAATAAGCATATTAAAAGATGCTTAATAATTATTATTGAGAAATGGAAATCAAAACCAAAATGAGATTTCACCTTACATTTGTCAGAATGGCTACCATCAAAAACACCACAAATAACAAATGTTGTTGAGGATGTGGAGAAAGGGGAACTCTAGCACACTGTTAGTGGCCATGTAAATTGGTGCAGCCATATGGAAAGCAGTATGGAGGTTCCTCAAAAGACTAAAAATAGAACCGCCACATGATCCAGCAATCCATTCTTGGGCATATATCTAAAGAAAACAAAAACACAAATTTGAAAAGATACATGCACCCCAATGCTCCATTATTTACAATTTCTAAGATATGGAAGCAACCTGTCTGTCTATCAACAGATGAATGGATAAAGATCTACTATCTCCCTCTCTCTCTCTTTCCATCCATCTATCCATCTATCTTTACATTGAAATACTAGTCAAATGAAATCTTGCCATTTGCAACAACATGGATGGATCTGGAGGGTATTATGCTTAGTGAAATAAATCAGATAAAGACAAATACTATACGTTATTACTTTTACGTGTAATCTGAAAAATAAAACAAACTCATAAACATAAAAAAGAAACAGACCCACAGATATAGAGAATGAACTAGTAGTTATAGTGGGGAGAGGGAAGGGAAGGGCTGGACAGGAGTAGGGGGATTAAGAGGTACAAACTACTATGCATAAAATAAACAAGCTTCAAGCATATATTGTACAGCACAGTGAATATTGTCAATGTTTTGTAACTATAAATGGAGCATAATCTATAAAAATTTTGAATCACTATGAAACTAATATTGTAAATTACTTCAATAAAAATAAACAAATCAAGAAAAAAAAGAAGGAACAATGCAATGAAATATTGAAAGATATTTTTTAAAAGACTATAAAACAGGTCATAGTGACATGTTGAGAAATCAGGCAGGCACCGTGGATGTGACTCACTATAAGTGCTCTGAAATAATTTGTGAGGTCAAGTAGCACTTCCCTTTTTCATTCTTATATTACTCAGTCTGTCAGTTTAGTCTGCAGAATTAGAAAATACTCTCTTTGCTGCCATGTTCCTAGTATGTATAGTGACTCCCTAAAAACCCTTCATCTTCATGCTTTTATCTGCATGTCTGGCTCCCACTAGTTAATTTAAGGTAGTACACAGCATAATCCCTAGCTCACCATCTGAGTTACTATGGACCAGTCATATTCTTCCTCTACCTTATCCAGGACAATATTTTTCAGAATTGATGAGAATTTGAAGGAAAGTTCGAGCACTGAAGAAAAAATGGAAATAGTTAAGATAGGGATAAACTTCAGTCTCTTGGTATAGAAAGGACTCACTCTTTGTAGTCTGAAAGGACTCACTCTTTGTAGTCTGAAAGGACTCATTCAGTCTCTCTGCATCAGGAAGGACTCACCATTCGCCTTTATCCAACATGTTGGAAAGGATTGGAATAGGTTCCTTTGTTTTGTTTTGTTGTATTTTTCTTTCTTACTAGTCAATGAATTGATTGCTATAAATACAACTGCAATCACTTGTCACATCCTATGGAACTTGAAGATAATCTGATCAAGTATACTTATGACATTCATAATTTTTAGAAGAGATACGGCCAATACTATTTAGTTTTTTTGATACATAACAAAATATGACCAAAAAGAGTTATGTCTTTAAAAGACATGCAATTTATTAACTTCATTACAAGTAAAATAAAAAAATTATTTGGAATGAGAACTATATGAATAAATTACATTTTCTAAGAAGTGTTATTTTTATGATTATCTGAAGTTTCCGTGACAAAATCAGTATACCTGATGTATGCTCGAACTTGACATCCTCGGAACCAGCTCTGGATTTTAATTGCTGCATCATTCTCCTTTTTCCGAAAGACATCCACAACACTAAAAAAAATTTTTTAAAGCATTTCATTAGTGACTAACATCAGCCTTTACACTTAATTTTTAATTTCCTCCAAAATGATAATTATAATTCAAATGTCATTTTAAATAACATTAAAATGCTAAATAAAGAAAGTATTTCAGAAATTATGATCTGTGTTTTAAAAATTAACCTTTCTCTAAGAGGCAATGTGCTTTCAACAGCTTTACTTTTTTAATTTTTATAATCACCTATTTGCAACTAATTAATTCACCAGTGGTTTTTATAAGGAAATTTAAAAAGCAATGCGGTATTTTGTCATTATTTTAAAAATATGATTATTTGAATTTATTGTTTAAATGCCACTACACATATCATGCAAGATTAAAATGCTTGCATATTTCACTCATTGCATCAGCTAAATGAACTGCCTGTAAGTAAGATAAATCCATCATCTTGCCTATTCTAGATAGAGTTCTTAAAGGAGGCAAGGGGCAAGGCCACAGGCCTTATAAGCAGATAAGAAATTCAGTCTTCAGATTTTACTGACTTACAGGAAGAAAAGGTTTAGTCAAGACAGATCTCCATTGTAATTTTATCAGTCCTTATAATTCTCCCCCATCCCCATTTGATAAAATCATATTGCTTAGGCCAGTTACTGCGGAATACAGAGTAATTTCTCTCCTAAAACACTGGTTGACACAAAATTAGCGCTTTATGTTTGCTAAATGAATAAAGAATGACTAGTCACTTATTTTTCTACTTTTTAAAAAATTCCCTCAAAAATTTGTTTTCTGAGACATGTTATTTATTTGCTTTCATTGTATGTTAGATTAAATATATAGAGTTCACTAAGTCTATACAATTAGAACAAAAACAGAATGGGAAAAAATACTTCAAATAATGCTATGAAGTTGGCTGAGAAAGAAAACAGGATTAGCAATTAAACTGTCAGTGACAAATAGCTGAAGAAACAAGTAGATGGCTTATCTACCAGGTAAGCAGGAGAGAAAGGTACCTAGAAAGACTGACTGAAAAGGATCCAAAGAGAGGAACAAAAATGATGCATCAAGTTGGTGACCCAGATGCGAAGAGTCACGGTGAGAAACTGTGCCAATTAGTAAGGTTGCATAAAGTGTAGTGGAAGTGAAGGACAAACTGTAACACTACACAAGAGGTCCTTGCTGTTTATCTATTTTACATACAGCACAGGGAACTATATTCAATATCTTGTAATAACCTATAATGGAAAAGAATATGAAAAAGAATATATATATGCATACATATAATTGAATCACATTGTTGTACATCTGATACAAAGACAACATTCTAAATCAACTAAACTTCAATAAAAATAAATAAATAAACACAAAATGAAAAAAAACTGCGTAAGAGAATAGAGTCGCTCACTTTACCGGATAATGGAAGGCACCATGATAAGATTACCAAACAATGTGGTAAAATTTGCTGGAGATAATGAAGTGTGTGAGGGCACGCTGGACAACTGGGAAAAGAAAGTTTCATCATTGCTGTCTGTTTACACTGCATGTACAAAATAACAGCAGAAACGTGTATAAACTATTCTTGGCTCAAATTATACTCCACGTGGGGGAGAGAACAGTTTTAAGTCCTTCCCTCAAGAAGCCTTCCTTGAATCCCCAGACTACATTAGGCTTCTGTTACACACCCTCATAGCTTTTCATAATATTTAACACATCATATGCAACTGTTTAATGAGGGTCTCTCCACCAAACTAAGCTCCAAAAGGCAGTAATCTTGTCTACTTTGGCCCATGTGGCTTCCGCAGTGGCTCTGCCAAGATAATAGACGTTATTTCTAACACTCAACCTTTGTCTTCCTAGAGCTGCTTCCTCTGGGGGAGCAGCATGCCGACTGGCACATTTAACCCCTGTGAAGAATGCCACTTGCACGCTTCCCTCACTGCACCTTTCACAACATGGGAATCTCTCCCCATTTCAGGATGACAGAGTTGCTGAGGACCCCACGGGTGGCCCCATGCCCCTAGGAACTTGAATCTTGGGCTGATTATGGGTAAAAGACAGGCAGATAATCTGAAAGAGTCTGTTGTAAGAAATAGAAAAAAGAATAATTATATCTTAAACAAATTAATACTTTATATGCCAACTGTTCTAGCATTTTTACATCCCACTCTGCTAACTCATATATAACATTTTCAAAACCTGTATGAAGTAAATAAATGTGCCTATCTGACAGAGGAAGATACTGAGGCAAAGAGAGGTGTAGCGATACGCCCAAGGTCACATATTGGTGTAAGAGCTGAGATTTGATTCTAGGTAGTCTGGCTCCAGAGGTGGCATTCTTAACCATCATGTCCCCTAAAGGGAAGAGAGGAAGAATGAGAAAGAGAAAGGAGGGAAGTAAGAGGGAAGAAGCATCAAGGAAAAAAGAGCAAGAGGAAAAATGCATGTAAAATTTTCCAAATATTATATTGAATCGTGGCATAAAATAGCACCAATCTCCTTAAAACAATGAAATAGACAGAAAGCTGAAGATATGGAAAAAGCCCAACATCCATAGCAAAAAACCCAAAATTTCTCACTGTACCAAGTACTGTGAGAATGCACTACCATAGGCACTCATCTGTATGGCTGGAAGGAAACCATTCGGTCTCTGAACACATACAGAAAAGTGAAAAACTCCCAAGACGTCAGGGATGTTCAGCAGAGATGCAGACACATACACATTTAGCAAAACTATAATGAGAGTGATAAATTCCAGGACAGATGTGGGGGACATTTCTAAAATTTGTCTTGTCTTCATACACTGGGAATTCCATAAACGAGAAAACCAAAGACTTTGTGCTCTTGTCACTGCATTTGAGGGAAAGAAAAGGAACTTAAAAAAATGAACAACCCAAATGAAAAGCAGCAAAGACAGGCAATGTACAGAACAGACAATACAAACGACTTACACCTTTAAAAGCTCTTGCCTTGCGTTCTGGGTACATTTGCACTTTTGAGACCTGCAGTTAACCATCTTGCGAGTGCCAATGTGTACTCCAGGGAAAATTACATTGAAACAATCAAGGTCCTTAAAATTTCAGAAAGCAAGTCTCTTTAGCCAAAAAGCTGGAAGTAGGGTTGACAAATGGTTACCTGTGTTAAATTTTACTGTCAAATGTCATCACTGTTCCAAAAAAGGTAAACACATTTAGAATTTTGTTCTCAACAGTTAACTGATTAACGTTACTTCCACAAAATATGTGACTTTGACTCTTCTGTAAGGCAATTGGAAAGAGGAGATATTACTTTTACATACAAAGTTATTTATTTATAGAAATTGGGGTACAATGTACATTGAAAAACATGAAAAGTACTGAAGAAACTAACAGATGGCATTGAAGTGTCTTTAATGAAAGACAATTTACAAAATGGGTTTTTAAAAAAGCATGAAAAGACACTCAGGATGACTCAAGAATTTTATTTTTTAATGATGTATCATTGTACTACTAAAATAATAAGAACAACCTAAATGGCAAGGTTCTTAACTAGTTTTCACAATTTTGTGTATAATACAAGGGGATATTAGACTCCCTGAATCTCATTATTGTGGCCTAGAACCGCACACTTCCAAAGTTTAACTGTCTCTGGTTCAAGGACATTTATTGGGAAAGATGTTAAATAAGGGGGAAAAAAGGTCCTGGTAAAAGTGACAAGTATTCTGCAGTGCTGTAGAAGTTAATGGAAAGGCATCAGGAAGGGAGACCACAACTAAGCAGTGCCAAATGCCACGAAAAAGTCATGAAGACAAGGCCACCGTTTCAAGGGGTTGCACGGATAGTGGGAATCTTTCATGTTTCCTTTAACATCTTACCTTAGCATCTTAGAATATCTTATCATAAGATACTCTAGAGCAGGATATAAAATGTCATTTAGGGCAAACATAGAAGAGATAAAGTGACACAATGTCTAGTGGAGCAGGCAATTCAAAGAAGACAGCATGTAAAGAAGATAAGGACAGAAAAACTTCATTCAAAAAAGGCTGATGTAAAGTCAAATTCCTGATAACGGGATAAAATGGCTTCTCATGGTTACTTAACCCTTATTTATTGACATTTAATATGACTATAGTAGATCTGTTTTTCATTTTTAAATATGCAGTTAACCCTTGAACAACATGGGACTAAAAGGCACCAACACACCATGCAGTAAAAAATCTACATATAATTTTATAGTCAACCCTCCACATCTGCGGTTCCACATCCAGGAATTCGGCCAAGCAGGGACTGTGTAATACTGTAGTATGTATTTGTTGGAGAAAAATCTGAGTTATCAGTGGACCCGGGCAGTTCAAACCCATGTTGTTCAACAGTCAACTGTGCTCTATTTAAATTACTAAAAACATTTTTCTCTCCTTCACCGCCAATAACAACTGACGATCTTTACAAAGAAGGGAAAAAATACACTTCTTTTTAACTAATGTATTAGTTTGCGCTTACCCCTTACTTATAATTGTCATAAGAAATGCAGAAGATAAGCAATCAAATTATCTGTCTTGAGTTTAGGTTTTAAACTCTCCTGGTAATAATGCTAACATATAATACACTTAGTCAAGAAGAAGATTAAGTAATTTATTTTTGGAGTTATTAACAATCTGTTTTTTTTAAAACATACAAATCAAAGCATACATATTATGCTAATAAGAAGTAAACATTAAATTAGAACTGTACATTAAATTAAATGGAAATGTTTTACAATAACTAGTAGTTGAATTATTGCTAAGTTTCAATTTATGTGCTGAAATTTGACTTCTATATACATTTTTCTGTTGCCCTTTTTTTTTAACTGCTTAAAAATGAAATTTACAGACACTTGGGTTACCACTGGGATGTTGAATACTCATACACTATGTCATGAACTGCTAGACATTTTATGTTTAAAATGAAAAATGGGGGTAACACTTTATTTTAATGGTATATTAATTAGTTCCAAATTATAATGAAAATCCTATAGCAGTGAATAAAATATGACATCTACATGAA